TGTCAGGGGCATCCCCAAATATGTCATTTCAAATCTCCCCGGCCTCACATGGGCAAATCCTTTCCTGCCAAAACAGAGAGAGCGTTCTTCTTTTTGCCAACTGCCACCTAACGTCACCTTGATTTTTTTGAGCCGAAAACCTCACCTTGAAAATCAAATAGTCTCTTTTTTAATCATTTTTAATTTTTTCTATTAAAAAAAGTCCGGATTATTTAGTCGTAGTCATTATCCTGACTCACCATTTACGTCAAAAGGGTAGATTACGGACGAGGTTTTTATCCTTGCTGATCCTGCATTGACAATATAATAGACAAGTCCAAACTAAATTATCGTCCGGTTTTTAATATATAATTTAATTATTAAGTTTATAAAACATATTTTTTATATTTATTAATTTTTTTAAATTACCCTTATAGATACTCCCTCAATCATAATCAAGCAAGTGAGGGAGGAATAATATTAAGAAAGATGATTATGATATTTAAAAAAAAAATATATCATATTTTTTTAATAATTAACTTACCTAACTTTCTTAATATAATTAAATTAGTTAAATAAATATTATATTAAGTAGTAAGAGTTTGAATATCAAAAATATGTCGTTGTTAGGAGATATGAGTGAGTTATTGAAAGGTTTGTGCGGCGAGAGAAGCGGCATCAATAACAGGATTAGGTGCGATTTAACAGCGTTGGAAGGGCAAAATGTCGACGCAATGGGGTCATCAATCCATGCCATTGAGTTGTAATTTGAATTTTGAGCCATCGAGGACAAAAATTGCCAAGCCATTTGATTGCGGCCGCTCTCGAATCAATATATATCCTCTTCCTCAAATCTTATCCGGCTGTGATAAGAAGGGCCTAATTAACCTACCGTCATCGTACCGTTAATTAACTGCTTAAGTTGTTTGTTGCTATTTCAATGTTTGAATTACCTAAATATCAGCAAATCTTACTAATATCTTCAAGCTATCAGATATATGAATCCTCTTGATTCGCGCAACGCGCACGGAAGGATCCGACTTATTTCGATAGGTTGAGATAATCCGGGGAATCTTATTAAAACAAAAAAAGGATAATCCCGGGGAAAAACTGAAAAGGGCATAAATAATAATGACGCATGACAGTTGGGAGGAGCGAGCGACAGAGCGACAACACCAAGTGGGCTCCACATCCCTCCTTTTCACCGTGCGATCAAGCCCCTGGCTGCGCGAACCTTTGAATTTTGATAACAAGGAGTCCTTATAAGTTATAAGCGTGTTTGCAAAAAAGCGCCTTGTCTATTGCCAATCTGCTTATTAGATCCTTCCTTTCCTGCTTTCATTTTTTGACCCCAATCATCCTAAAAGGTACTTTTAACCTGCCTGTTATTGCAGTTCCTGGTCAAAATCCTTGCTTATTGCCACTGCAATTGGTTCGTGATGTATCGTGTTTTCTAGAATTATTTGAGGAGCTCGCGAGTCCCCTTTTTTAATTTGTCGAATCAAAATTAATACCTAAAAAATGTGTGGGGTATATATATACATGTACATATATTTTTCCAGTCTTTAATATAATACCTATTTAACTAATTTGATTATATTAAGAAAATTAGTTAATTATTAGAAAAGTGACATTTTTCTTAATATCCCATCTCTCTTCTACTTGATTATGGTTGAGGGAGTATCCATGTGGATAATTTAAAAAAAATTAATAAATATAATAAATGAATCTTATATTTAAGATCAAAACCAACTCAAGAATTGAATCTTATATTAAAAACCGAAAAAGTATATATTTAAAAAAAGTTGAGCTACATGCGGTGTCAGCAATGGAAAAATATCACAGGCGTGCGTGACTTTCCACTATTGTGACTTGGCAAAATTTTCACACCCCCTGTTTAGGCGATTACCAGTTTACCAGAGGAAATTGCAGGTTTTTAGTTCATTTTGTACCTTATCGGAACTGTTGGCCTCACCCTTCACTTACACAACTGGCCGCGTATTAACATTTTGAATTAATTATAATACAAAATATATGTTTCGTCACTCGTAACGTCACCGCACAGCGTCCATGTCTCATTCTCACCTACCCAACTTGCTTCGCAAAAAATCCCCATAACTGGTGAAAATGCGATCTCATCAAATTTTAATTTAATTCTAATTCTAACTTTAACGGGTCACCTTCGTCACTCTATTCGGGAATTCCACGCTTCTACAGAATACATGTATATTTTTATCATACATGTTTATATCCTTGCCTCGTCACATAAAAACAATATATTAGTTTTTAGGCCTTTCTTCAACTTTAACGATATATCGACAGCAATAATTCATATCATGGCATGCGGGAAATAATTAATTTACCCATTGCACTGCGATTAGATGGCAAGCGCACATGGATAACACGGCTCGGGTTTTTCCTCATGAATGGTACTCTTTCGGTCTTTTTGAATTGGTTTTGGTTTCAAATATAAGACTCATTTTTTATATTTATCAATTTTTTCTAAATTACTCCTATTAATACTCCATCAGCTATAATCAAGTAAAAGAGGAAGATGGGGTATTAAGAAAGATGATTATGGTATTTTAGGAAAAACATGTCACATTTCTCATAATTAACTAACTTATCTAACTTTCTTAATCTAATTAAATTAGTTAAATGGATCTTATATTAAGAACCGGAGGAGTATAAAATAATTACTAACTTATAATCTCAACTCAATAACGTACCAGTAAAAGGTGTGTTTTGATTAGCATTCGGTAAAATAAAACTTGAATAAAACTTACTTCTGAATATGATTCTGGACCGAATTAATTTGATCAGGATGTAAATTAAAAGTGCGTAAGAGCCGCTTACAAGTTTATTATAATATTCCTCCGGTCCTTAATATAAGACCCATTTAACTAATTTGATTAGATTAAGAAAGTTAGGTAAGTTAGTTAATTATAAGAAAAGTGACACATTTTTCCTAAAATACCATAATCATCTTTTTTAATACCCCCTCTCTCTTCTATTTGATTATGGTTAAGGGAGTATCTATAGGGGTAATTTAGAGAAAATTGATAAATATGAGAAATGGGTCTTATATTCAGGACCAAAACCAACTCAAGAATTGGGTCATATATTAAGGACCGGAGGAGTACTATATTTTACTGCATTCAGCATTTGAATTTTTTCAGTGACTTTTTATAGACCACAGCAAAAAAATTGAGAGATGGACCATATTATTTATTTATATACTTTAAATGCGGATCTTATTGTGTGTTTTATAAAATATGCCAAATGAATATGCTGGTGATGGCTAATCAATGTCAGCAATACCAGCTATTACCTCCGGTCCTATTTATAATTAGGACCGGAGGTAGTATAAAATATATTAAAAAAAACTGTACTGTCTACAAATCATTTACAACGTAATTTCCATCTTAAACCACCTATTTATATAGAAAAAATGCCTAACCAGTTATAGGAAGAACGCATGCTTCCAACCTTCCGCGGTTGAAACAATGCAAAAGATTCATATACATGCGTATATTTAATTAATGTAAATATATTAATAATGCTAGATAAAATAGTTGGTTACGACAAATATGACCCGATCTCTTTAAAATATTCTTATATAATATTAAATTGAGTTAAGGCACATTTAACACTCCCAAATATTGCCTTTAGTGTATTTAGCATCCTAAAATATTTTTTAAATGCGATCAACACTTTAAAATTTTTTTTTGTCCTAGACGCACAAAAAATATTTTACGATACTGAACACACATAAAAAAAATACTTTAAAAGTTGTATGCACCAAAAAATATCTCGTGATTCTATACTTATTTAAAAAAAATACTTTAGGATGTTTTGATTCATTTGAGAAAATATCTCGAGATGATGAATGCACCTTAACTCTATAAAATTATATATTACTTCATAAGTAAAATAAATTAGTTTAAAAAAAACAATGAATATGCTAGAAAAAGTGGACCGAGATCCGTTTAAACCAAAATCAGCATCCAAAGTACTTTACATTGAAAAATATTGCCTAAATATATTAGGGGGAAAACAGATTGCTATACAAATTATTATCAAATCTTAATTGCACCCTAGTTGGGGGGAAAAAAAACTTAATTACCCCCAAACTTTTGATTATATAGTCCTTGACCCAAACCATTATGCAACGAAAAAAATATGTATATAAATAATAAATTAAGATTTTATAAGCACATTTTTTATGCCTACATCTTAGAGAAGCCATTATTAATCTTTATAAAAATGTAAACACGTGTAAAAAGTCCTATCGATTCTCATTATTTATGAATAATACAGTTTATTTTCCAGATTTTGTACCCACTTTGGTTGATTTAGATTTTTTAAGAAGTATAATTTATGAAATATAATTCTAAATATTTTCAGTTTGGAGGTTAATTAGGAAAAGTTACAAAGAATGATCAGGAAAAATAATGACAATAACTATTTTTTTAGAAGCTAGTAATATTTGGATTAGATTTGTTGACAATATGAAATATCATACAGTTACTATCTTACCTCTATGACTTAAACAAATCAAATAATTTAATAACAACCATAGATTGATGTTTTAGAGAAGAAAAATAAGAAAGAACCTTTCACCGGGGGGAAAAAAAAGGAAAAAAAGAAGAAGAAAACACGAATGCAGATGCGTACAGACTCTCCAAAGCATCGGGCCGGGGGACCGAGGGCGAGGCGGAGATGGTGGGTCGCAGAGGCGGCTTCAGCTGTAAAAAGGGGTCGAAGTCGAAGGAAGGATTGCTGTAGTGTTAAATGGCGCACAACTCTCGCTGGGGCCCGCCGGGAGCGGTTGTCGCGTGCCGCATAGAGGTGGCTCACACGTGGCAACCCTTTCCTATTAATATTATTTATAGTAAGTCGGACTTGGTAATTCCACAAGCCATCTTGGTGGGCCCCACCCTGTTACCCTCCTTTCTCCTTCCTCTCTCTATAAATCTATACTCTGCTTCACCTCTGGTTGGAACCTACAACACCATACACCTTGAGGGCGGCGCTTCTTCCCTCCCTCTCTTCTCTTCTGCCTGCGGTCTCCGCTGTCTGCGCCACTCATCTCACACCTTCTCCTCTCAACCTTCCCGTTCTGGCTTTCCCTCGTCGTCCTTGTGAATAAGCATTCCTGTTTGGGCTCCAAGCGCGGACGGTATCCGGATCCTTATTCTACCAGCAGAACCAGATCTGTTGCTTGTCAACTGAAGAAAACCATTTATATGCATATATAATCCCACTGCCACGGTTATAAATCCGTCTCAGTGGTCAAACTCCCGGCCTTTCTCAGATTTACCTCGTTCGGCGACTTGCGTATTCAATACCCTTTAAAACACTGATATTTACTTGGTTTGAACAGAGAGCTAAGTTTTCCCGAATATAAAGTCGGCACCTAATAATCAATAGAAGGAATTTCCTGGATTTTATCGAACGATGTCCAGTTCCCTTTCCTTCATACAACTTCCGACTGGCTCTTCTTGTGCTCTTCCCCGCATCAACAACCCTCAACTCAATGTACGCCCTTCAAATAAAGTCGGTGGCAGAGTCACGCGATGCTCGGCTGCGAGGAAATCATCATGCTTGATGGAGAAGAACATTTTGGGAAGCCGATTGCGTCCGTGCAGGGCGCCGGGATCGGAAAAACTACACGTTTGGAAATCAGATGGTCCTGGACGGTCGCCTAAGCTGAGGGTGGTTGTTCGATCGGCATTCTCGGCGGTGCCGGAGAAGCCGCTCGGCCTCTATGATCCGGCTTTGGATAAGGACTCTTGTGGGGTTGGATTCGTCGCGGAATTATCGGGCGAGAGCAGTCGCAAAACGGTGAGTGTGGAGAATTGTTGTGAGTGAGGAGTAATATTAACTGAGACTAATGGGTAGTATGATGATTTGTTGTCAGGTGACTGATGCTCTGGAGATGTTGGTGCGCATGTCACACAGAGGTGCCTGTGGGTGTGAAACCAACACTGGAGATGGAGCCGGCATTCTCGTGGCTCTTCCTCACGAGTTTTATAGGCAGGCATGTCTTTTAACTTCTTTTGTGCCCCTCATGTCTGAGATTCATTGCGAATAGGGCTCATGACCACCTGAAACCACCTTGATTCTTTTTTTTCCTTTTTTTTTTTCAGTTGGTTGTTTTTTTTTTTAAAAGTAAGTTGGTCGTATTTTCGAATGCTATTTATCTTATTTTTTATGTTCTTATTAATCGTTTTATTTAATGCCATTTTTGGGATTATTATTACTATTATTACTATTACTGCTATTATTATTATTGGTTAAGTTATTATTATTTTTGTTGTTGTCGTTTGTTCGATCCTCTAAAGCTGAAGTTTGGATCTATAGTTTTTTTAAGTTGAAAATATATAAAAATAAAAGATCTTGAACAAATATTGAAACCTTGTAACGATCGAGGCGTTTCTAAAATTTCATCGTTACATTTTGTCTATTTCGTGTCAGTTTTACTCTTGAATCTCTAGGACTCTTACGCTAATTATTACTATCCTTCTTGTTATTATTATTAAAAGAAAGTGTAAAAACTGTTTTGTCCTTGCCGTTGTTCCTGTTTCTTCTCCTTTTTTCGTTCACAAGTTCTTTTTAATAACTTGAGACACCCCATATCAGCATCTTGACAGATTGGAAGGAAACAAACACGAAAGATACGTAAATGCGTTCGTAAAGTTTTTATTTTTTTAATCCACTGATCAAATGTTTTAACTGGCTGGGTCAAACAGCTTTTACGCATAAGTTTTAATTTTAATCTAGTGGAATTGGCATCTGTTTCTCAGCTTGTTGTCTGCCAAGTGTGCTGACAGTGTTAGGGGATTTGGCATTTTTCTGCAGGTTGCTAGGGATGTGGGATTTGAGCTTCCACCACCTGGACAATACGCTGTTGGCATGTTTTTCTTGCCCACGTCAGAAAGTCGTAGGGAAGAAAGCAAAAAAATATTTAAAGAGGTAACTCTGATAATATTGTTCGTTTTCTCTTGCTAATACAACAAAGGTTCCTAAAATTATGCTTTCATCATTCTTATATTGGCACCTCTACTTAAAGAGGTTGACCACTGCTTCCGACTTCAACTTGGCCTGTCAAACTGCACCAAAGACCACTCTTTCACTGATAGTTCTTTCTTTAATTTTCTCCAGCTTTCTGTTATGTGGCCAAAAATTTTGTTTTGTTTTTTTTATCCCGGCATTACATTCTAATGATCTTGCTGAAGTTGTGCATGGCTTCATGCTTTTGCAAACGAACCTAGCAAGGAATATCTTTTATTACTGTTTTGTTCCCTTGCTCTAAGCTTTTTTTTTTTTTTTAAAAAAAAAAAATGTAATAATATAATGACATTCCTTTGTAAATGTTCTTTGATTGTGTTTAAAGGCTGCCGAATCTCTTGGACACTCGGTTCTCGGTTGGCGTTCTGTGCCTACTGATAACTCAGGATTGGGTAAATCTGCCCTACAGACAGAACCGGTCATTGAGCAAGTGTTCCTTTCACACAGTCCTCGATCAAAACTTGATCTGGAAAGACAGGTATCTGGATTGTATTTTACGAGCTATAGACTCCTAGGTTGTGTTGCACTGAAGCACATGAAATAATGGAACTAGAAAGTCTTGCTTATTGCTAAACGGTAGAATATGAATAAAACCTGGGAAATCTTGTGATAGCTGAATTTTTTTCTCGAGGAATTTTCTCATGCTTGCATATTATTGACTTCATTGTTGCAGATGTACATATTAAGAAAGGTCTCTATGGCAGCTGTTGAATCTGCATTAAAACTCCAACTTGATGGCATTAAAGATTTCTATATCTGTTCACTTTCATCAAGGTGCGCTCTCAAAAGGAAAATGACATTTGTTTGAGAACTGAATTATGGTTGGTGCCTGGATGAAAAATCATTTGCCAGTATCATGTGATTATCCAATTTTGCAGGACTATTGTTTACAAGGGTCAGTTGACTCCTGCACAATTGAAGGATTACTATTTTGCAGACCTTGGTGATGAAAGGTTTACGAGCTACATGGCCCTGGTAAATATTTTAACCATTAACTTATCTTCTTTCTCCACTAACTCTATACTCCAACAAACAGCATGGGAACAACCAGTAACTGAAGAGATGCAAGGTTGAGGAATGACTTCTGAGGCATTGAGGTTTGAATGATCTCTTAAGTTCTTCCACTCCCTTGATTACTGTTTGAATTTGGATGCTGGATTGGATGCAATGGGTGAGTTGGTAAGAAAGTTCATTATCAAGATAATCAATTTCTGCCCATGCTTTCTGTGGTTACATGGTCTGAAGGACAATTTCATTCAAGTGATGAAGGGAAAATCGTTTTGGTGAAAATTGAACCAATATCAGAGATCTCTACTGGCACTTCAGCATATCCTTGTGTTGAAGTGCTTCAGGCATTATCTTTTTAAGCATTGGTTTACATTAAGCGATAAGAGTTGATCATATGGACTGACAATTTAGTGTTATAAACATTCATGCAGATACACTCACGATTTTCTACCAACACATTTCCAAGCTGGGATCGTGCTCAGCCTATGCGTGTATTGGGCCACAATGGAGAAATCAACACACTCAGAGGCAATGTTAACTGGTATGCCTTGAATGTGCGATGTTAAACAAGTTTTTACTTTTGCTTAACACGTATAAGAATGAACAATAAATTGCAGTGCCAATTATAAGTGGATGTATAACAGTACAAGCATGTAATATACTGACGCCTGATGTGAGTTAATTAAAAATGGATGTAAAAGCATGGAGTGTAGTACTGGGTGCCACTGATTGCATTTTGACTGAACTAGGATCCATCGCCTAATGCTTTGCATTTTGAAGGATAAAGGCACGTGAGGGTCTACTCAAGTGCAAGGAACTTGGTTTGCCAGAGAGTGAGTTGAGGAACCTTTTGCCCATTGTGGATGCAAATTCATCAGATTCAGGTGAATTTTAATCATTTTCTCGTTTCCTCTCTGCTATATAGAACGTGTCAATATATTGAATTTGTGGGCAGAATTTCATCTGCCAGCTTTTTTATAGTTGTATGAAAGCCAAAAAGTAATTGATTTTCTGCCTTCTCTTGCATTCTAACTGTTAATTATATGTATATTTTTACTCCAGGAGCATTTGATGGTGTTCTTGAATTTTTGGTTCAATCTGGAAGAAGTCTTCCTGAAGCTGTCATGATGATGATTCCTGAAGCATGGCAAAATGACAAGAACATGGACCCTCAGCGTAAAGCGTTTTATGAGTACTTCTCAGCTCTCATGGAGCCATGGGATGGGCCTGCTCTTATCTCATGTAACTTCACTAGAACTTCTAAGAATCATCTTCGCTCTTTTCCCTGCATAAAATGTATTATTGGTAGTGGTTGTATGCGCCTTTTTTTTTAAAAAAAATAAAAAATAATCCAACATCATTGCAGTTACCGATGGCCACTATCTTGGAGCTACTTTGGATAGGAATGGGTTGCGACCTGGCCGTTTCTATGTCACCCATAGTGGAAGAGTCATAATGGCAAGTGAAGTTGGTGTTGTAGACATTCCTCCTGAGGATGTGTGTAGGAAAGGACGACTTAACCCTGGCATGATGCTTCTGGTCGACTTTGAAAAGCGTGTTGTTGTAAATGATGATTCCTTGAAGGAACAATATTCAATGGCAAGGCCGTATGGAGAGTGGCTCAAGAGGCAGAAGATTGAACTCAAAGACATAGTTGACTCTGTACACGAGTCCCAAAGAGCAGCACCAGCCATAGCAGGAGTGGTGCTAGTAAGTACAAGATCAATACCAATGTGAAATACAGATGAATTTCTTTTGGCTATGCCTTACCGTTGCATCTTCTGTTAATTACAGGCATCTGATGATGATGCAAACATGGAAAATATCGGTATTCATGGTTTATTAGCTCCGTTAAAAGCATTTGGGTGAGTGATGTTTCTTATGAGTATGCTCTTCAATTTAAGCATGTTACTTACAAAGAAACTGTTTCTTATATTCTGCTCCATTCATGCAGTTATACAATTGAATCCTTGGAAATGTTATTGCTTCCCATGGCAAAAGATGGTGTTGAAGCTCTTGGATCGATGGGAAATGATACTCCATTAGCTGTCATGTCTAATAGAGAGAAGCTGACCTTTGAATACTTCAAGCAATTGTTTGCCCAAGTGACAAACCCACCGATTGATCCTATCCGTGAGAAAGTAGTCACTTCCATGGAATGTATGATTGGTCCAGAAGGTGATCTGACAGAAACTTCAGAGGAACAATGCCACCGTCTTTCACTAAAAGGCCCCCTTCTATCCATTGAAGAAATGGAAGCCATAAAAAAGATGAATTATAGGGGCTGGCAGAGCAAAGTTATAGACATAACTTACTCTAAGGACCGTGGTAATAGAGGATTGCAGGAAGCCTTGGACAGAATTTGTGAAGAGGCACATGATGCGATTACTAAAGGATATACAACACTTGTGCTGTCTGATAGAGGTATTATACTATTATGTTATGTTATATTTGTACCGCATAAAGGCACAATCTATATTGCACGTCCATATAATTTAATGTTGTCATTTATTCTGCAGCATTCTCAAGGAACCATGTCGCTGTGAGCTCTCTTCTGGCTGTTGGTGCTGTCCATCAATACCTAGTTAAAACACTTGAACGCACTAGGGTTGCTTTAATAGTTGAATCTGCCGAGCCACGTGAAGTACATCATTTCTGTGCCCTTGTTGGCTTTGGTGCTGATGCTATTTGCCCATACTTGGCCTTGGAGGCTATCTGGCGGCTACAAGTTGATGGAAAGATCCCACCAAAAGCAAGTGGTGAATTCCACTCAAAAGATGAATTGGTCAAGAAGTATTTCAAAGCAAGTAACTATGGAATGATGAAGGTTCTTGCCAAGATGGGAATATCTACTTTGGCCTCTTACAAAGGCGCTCAGATCTTTGAAGCTCTGGGTCTTTCATCAGAAGTAATTGAAAAATGCTTTGCTGGCACTCCTAGTCGTGTTGAGGGTGCTACATTTGAGATGCTTGCTCGAGATGCACTTCAACTGCACGAGTTGGCATTCCCTTCTCGTGTTTTCTCTCCAGGAAGTGCAGAAGCTCTTGCACTGCCAAATCCTGGGAATTATCATTGGAGAAAAGGTGGTGAACTTCACCTAAATGATCCACTTGCTATTGCGAAACTTCAAGAGGCTGCCAGAACCAACAGCAAAGATGCATATAAACAGTATTCTAAGCTAATTCATGAACTAAATAAGGCTTGTAATTTGCGTGGTCTGCTAAAATTCAAAGAGTCAGCCGTGAAGATTCCCCTTGATGAAGTGGAGCCAGCTAGTGAGATAGTTAAACGATTTTGCACTGGTGCCATGAGTTATGGGTCAATATCATTGGAGGCCCACACAACACTGGCAATGGCTATGAATTCGATTGGAGGAAAATCCAACACAGGTTTGTTAAACCTCTAAATCTGATGTTATATTTTTCACTCCTTTTAGAAGGGGAAATGGAATTCCTATGAAGACGAACTATCTTTAACTGCTAAATATGTTGATGGGACATACTCTCTTTCATTATTTTTGCTTGAAGATGTCTTTAGGCTTATTTTTTCAATCTCACTTCTACTTCTTTTTCTTCTTCTTGAGATAAAGAATTTTTAATTTCTCTATATTTTGAATTATTTTAAATATTTAATTCTTGCAAATGTTGCCACAGGTGAGGGAGGTGAGCAACCATCTCGCATGGAGCCTCTTCCTGATGGCTCAATGAATCCAAAACGGAGTGCCATTAAGCAAGTTGCCAGTGGAAGATTTGGAGTGACAAGTTACTACCTTACAAATGCTGATGAATTGCAAATAAAGATGGCCCAGGTAATTATCAAAGTTTACACATGGGAACTGAGGTACTTGGTCTATTTTTATGTATTGTAAATGTCTATACACTGGTCTCTTGCCTCCATATTCCTGTTCAGGATTTGTGTATTAGTATATTAATGACAGATGACGCTCTATGCCATGCGTCTTCAATTCATACTTAAATTTCTCCTTCGTTAGGTAACACTTGAATGAATGCTTTTACATTTTGCACAGGGAGCAAAGCCAGGCGAAGGAGGTGAACTTCCAGGCCACAAAGTTGTAGGAGAGATTGCTGTCACCAGGAACTCAACTGCTGGGGTAGGACTCATCAGTCCTCCTCCCCATCATGATATTTACTCCATTGAAGACCTTGCACAGTTGATTCATGATCTGAAGGTCTGCCCATTAGTAGTTCTACCTCTCTTCCAATTTTTTTGCTTGGAATATTCCTCAGTGAAGCTTTCTACTTACTTTAACCTCTCTTTGTTGATCTGTAGAATGCCAACCCAGCTGCCAGAATCAGCGTGAAGTTAGTATCTGAAGTTGGAGTAGGCATTGTTGCTAGTGGAGTTGTTAAAGGGCACGCCGATCATGTTTTGATCTCAGGTCATGATGGGGGTACAGGAGCATCTAGATGGACTGGCATAAAAAATGCTGGTCTTCCTTGGGAGCTTGGCTTGGCTGAGACCCACCAAACTTTGGTTGCAAATGACTTGCGTGGTCGCACAGTTCTCCAGACGGATGGACAGCTCAAAACTGGTAGAGATGTTGCCATAGCTGCATTGCTTGGTGCTGAAGAGTTTGGTTTCAGCACAGCTCCACTGATTACTCTTGGGTGCATCATGATGCGAAAGTGCCACAAGAACACTTGTCCTGTTGGCATTGCCACTCAAGATCCAGTGCTTAGAGAGAAGTTTGCAGGAGAATCTGAGCATGTTGTCAACTTTTTCTTCATGGTGGCAGAAGAGATGAGAGAAATTATGTCTCAGCTTGGATTTCGTACTGTAAATGAGATGGTCGGCCGTTCAGATATGCTTGAGGTCGACAAAGACGTAACTAAAAGCAATGATAAGATGGAGAACATTGATCTCTCACTGTTGCTTAGACCTGCAGCTGAATTACGTCCAGAAGCTGCTCAATACTGTGTGCAAAAACAAGATCACAGTTTGGACATGGCCTTGGACAATAAGCTTATCAGTCTGTCTAGTGCTGCTTTGGAAAAGGCTCTTCCAGTGTACATTGAAACTCCAATCTGCAATGTAAATCGTGCTGTGGGAACCATGCTTAGCCATGAGGTAACTAAGCGGTACTGCTTGGCTGGTCTTCCAACTGATACCATTCATATTAAATTTTCTGGAAGTGCGGGCCAGAGTTTTGGTGCATTTCTTTGTCCTGGCATCACTTTGGAACTTGAAGGGGATAGCAATGACTATATTGGCAAAGGATTATCTGGTGGTAAGATTGTAGTATACCCTCCCAAGGGAAGCAACTTTGATCCTAAGGAAAATATTGTAATTGGCAATGTGGCATTATATGGTGCAACAAAGGGTGAGGCTTATTTTAATGGGATGGCAGCAGAAAGATTTTGTGTACGTAATTCTGGGGCCAAGGCTGTTGTGGAAGGTGTTGGTGATCATGGATGTGAATACATGACTGGTGGAACTGTTGTTGTGCTTGGGAAAACTGGTAGAAATTTCGCAGCTGGTATGAGTGGTGGTATTGCTTATGTGCTAGATGCTGATGAAAAATTCCGCTCTAGATGCAACCTTGAGCTTGTTGATCTCGACAAGGTTGAAGAAGAGGAGGATATTATGACTCTCAGAATGATGATACAGCAACATCAACGCCACACAAATAGTAAACTTGCCAAAGAAATGCTTGACAATTTTGAGCACCTTGTCCCTAAATTTATCAAGGTGTTCCCCAAGGAGTATAAACGCGTACTTGCAAATATGAAGGCTGAGGCAGCCTCTAAAGAGACAGTAGAGGCTGTTGCTAAAGATGCAGAAGATGAAGATGAAGCACAACCGGTGGAAAAAGATGCCTTTGAAGAACTTAAAAAACTGGCTGCTGCATCTCTGAATGAAAAACCAAGCCAGGTGATTTAAACATTAGCTATTTCGCTCCATTCCGTACTCTACACAAGTTTTATAAATATTAAGTATTCTGTGCTAACAAGAGTCCTTCAAAGATTGATGCATAGCCTGTAGTTGTTGCTTACATATCAAGTGACTGACTTGAAAGATCATTATTCTGTAGTAGTACATTTTTAGTTGGCTGATGTCTTGGAAAATTTCCGCAGGCTGAACAGGCTAAAACATCCAAGAGACCTCATCACGTTGCTAATGCTGTCAAACATAGAGGTTTTGTTGCCTATGAGCGTGAGGGTGTTCAGTACCGTGACCCTAATATTCGAATGAATGATTGGAAAGAGGTCATGGAGGAGGGGAAGCCTGGCCCACTTTTGAAGACACAATCAGCTCGTTGCATGGATTGTGGTACTCCTTTTTGTCATCAGGTGTGCCTCGCCTCTTCTCTGTAAATTTTCATTTAAAACACTATTTGGAGGCATGGGTAAACTAAAAGCAAATGTATTTGCGTGAAATTGCAGGAAAATTCTGGATGCCCCCTTGGAAATAAAATACCCGAATTTAATGAGTTAGTATACCAAAATAGGTGGCGTGAAGCATTAGATCGCCTTCTTGAGACAAACAACTTTCCAGAGTTTACTGGTCGGGTGTGTCCGGCACCTTGTGAAGGTTCCTGTGTCTTGGGCATCATTGAGAATCCTGTATCTATAAAAAGTATTGAATGTGCCATAATAGACAAAGCTTTTGAGGAGGGTTGGATGGTGCCACGACCTCCACTTAAGAGAACTGGGTAAGCTGTTTTCTTAAGTGCACTTTGAAAATATTTTTTGCAAGTTCCTAGTGCTTTTTTTAGTTATGACCATAATGATGCTCGTCATTTTCTAAGTGTGCTGCAAATTGCAATTATTGATGAGCTCAATGACATTGTTGATGTAGGAAAAGAGTTGCTGTTGTTGGAAGTGGACCGGCAGGCTTGGCCACAGCTGATCAACTAAATAAAATGGGTCATACGGTAACTGTATATGAGAGAGCTGATAGGATTGGAGGGCTTATGATGTATGGGGTGCCGAACATGAAAGCTGACAAAGTGGATGTTGTTCAACGCCGGGTCAACCTTATGGCCGCAGAAGGAGTCAACTTTGTGGTGAATGCCAATGTTGGGGTTGATCCTTTGTTCTCTCTTGATCGGCTTCGAGAAGAAAATGATGCTATTGTCTTAACTGTAGGAGCTACAAAGCCAAGGTGACATCCAATACAGGGGCTCATATTATTTTCCATGAAGTAATGGTTTTTTTTAACCAGTTGGAAATTGTTTATCGAAAATTGGTGTTATATGTTACTCAGGGATCTTCCAGTACCAGGACGGGATCTTTCAGGAATTCATTTTGCCATGGAATTTCTTCATGCAAACACGAAAAGCTTGCTAGATAGTAATCTTGAGGATGGCAGTTATATTTCTGCCAAGGGTAAGAAGGTTGTTGTCATCGGTGGGGGTGACACTGGCACAGATTGCATTGGGACATCCATTCGTCATGGGTGTAGTAGTGTTGTGAATTTAGAGCTGCTTCCTCAGCCACCACAAACTAGGGCCCCAGGCAACCCTTGGCCACAGGTTAGATCCATTTCTTCTCAAGTCTTAGTTTTTTTTCACTTCTTTTCAGCCTAATTAGTGAACGATTGGCCTTTTCGCGTGCCAGTACTAGAGACTTTCATTTACTTGAATGGCCAATGATGCTCTCGAGACTATTTCACCTTATTATTGACTGACTTCCTTAACATTCCGATTGGCTTGAGATTAGTGAACATTGCCAGTAATTGCAACTGTTTTCCTGTAACTAGTTTGGCATTTTGCATCTGAAGCGGAATGGCATGTGTATTTAGTTTAACCAACGGGTGTTTCTGGAATGCAGTGGCCTCGCATATTCCGTGTAGACTATGGGCACCAGGAAGCTGCAGCTAAATTTGGAAAGGATCCAAGATCTTATGAAGTTCTAACCAAGCGTTTCGTGGGGGATGAGAATGGGATCGTGAAAGGACTTGAAGTGGTCCGGGTATGCTGGGAGAAGGATGAAACTGGCAAGTTTCAATTTAAGGAAATTGAGGGTTCTGAGGAGATTATCGAGGCCAACTTGGTTTTGTTAGCCATGGGATTCCTTGGCCCCGAGTCTGTAAGTATTTATCACATATTCTCATGCTATAAAAAATGCAGATTTTATGTACGCTTCAAGGCCCCTGACGCCACTAATCTTGGTGCTCTGCTTTTTCCAGACAATTGCTGATAAATTGGCGTTGGAGAAAGACAATAGGTCAAACTTCAAGGCAGATTATGGCCGCTTCTCAACCAGCGCCAAAGGGGTCTTTGCTGCTGGGGATTGTCGTCGTGGCCAGTCCCTTGTGGTGTGGGCAATCTCAGAGGGACGACAAGCTGCTACTCAAGTTGATAAGTACCTCTTCGAAGAAGAGAGAGAACACAACATGGATGAGAACCAGGAGGAACTTATTAAGAGGCAGGAAGACCTTACTAAGAAGCACCAAGACAAGCACACAGTAATGACATGAAAGGTTCACATGATTTTTCATCTCGTATAATACCAAAAGGAATTGCACAGTATAATCAGTATATTTCCAAGGGATCTCCCGAGATTGGATATGGATTTTGATTGGCTTTCCATAGGCATTCTTTGTTGGTACGCCAGAAAGACCAGAATAATACGATATTTGTCTTTGGTGTTAGTGGTTTTTTGGGGTATATAATTTCCGCATATTGAATCTGTGTTTATAACTTAAATGCAGGCTTTTTGTCGGAAAGGTTAGTTATTTTGGCAGTTTATGTAATGTACAGTTTGCTTTTTAATTATTTAAGGGTATGGCATTGCTTATATTAGTGAATAGGTTCGATGGCTCTTAATCCGCAATTTCATTCTCCATTAAGCAAAACGCAACAAGTAATTCGGCTATTTGTATCCTGGAGTTTTCAGCTAAAAGAAAATCCAGAAATTGAGAGCCAAAATGATAAAAGGCAGAATTTGATTGCATAGGTACAAGGCATCGCATGAATGTTTTTTGCCCGCTCTCCTTGCAGGAATTCTCCGGGTAAATCATTTTAGTGCTCACACACTTTAAAACACTATTTGGATAAAAACTAAATCGTGATCTAAATTGTGATTCTAAAATGTGAAAAACATGTGAGAAGTATTTTGTTTCAATTTATGTAAAAATTATTTTTAAAAAGTGCTTTTTAAATAAACCAAACACCTCTGAACTCTTTCGTAGAGATTAATATATGGATTCTACACACTCATTATGCTTTGTGTTGGCAAGAAGTATTCAAATTTTAAATTTTACAATGCTGTGGCTGTTTTTACCAGTCTTCTACAATTTCCCCCCCTCTTTTTGAATGTTATCTTTTACGTCTTTGTCTGAATGCATAAATCCAAAATGTTTCTATCCAGACTCAACCGTTTAAGTGTTTTGATATTTCTTTAAAAAAAAATTATAGATTAAAAATTGTAAATTAACCATTCAAATCAAATTTCGAATAGTTAACTTTTGATCATAGCCACATGATAAAAATGACATTTCTTTTAATGACGATGAAAGACCCTGAATTTTGAAAATCCAAAAAAGACCATGTTTTTTCATGAATTAAAATTTTCCTGAGATAAATTTTCCCAGCATTATTTTTCAATATTTTCAACGTAAAAGATCAGTGTTGATGGAGACCCATGCATCTGCTCCCCCGACAATCTCTCCGGAGGAGATGGCCGTGGTGGAGGTGAGAAAGGTAGGCATTCCACGACTGCAGAGTTTATATGAATTACGATGCACACAAATCATTCAGCTCATCCAACTTCACATATATATTCATTGTTAATTGGGTAAAAATAACAAGCATTTGTCTTTTGCTTAGCAGTTGTGATCGGGAATTCAAATGATTCCCAACAAAAATGTTTTTTAATGGATCGATGACATAAGAGGATAAGACACACGGCCTAAGCATAAAGTTTAGAACCACATACACATGATGATAGTGGCAAATCAAAAGAAAACCCAAATTAAAGTCAGTACTCAGCTATTCTCCACCCCACAACATGAATATTCGCTTCCTCCTCTTCTTCTACATTCTTCCTCCAGCAAGCATAGAAACTTGCTTAGACGCCGTTTGCCAGAACGGCAACCTAATAATCCGATTCCCGTTTCGAATCCGACAGAGTCAGCAGCAGCCAAAGTCATGTGGTTATCCAGGTTTTGATGTGTCCTGCAGTAAGCAAGGCCAGACACTGCTGAAACTCCCTTACTCTGGAGGAGAATTCAGCATCCAAGCAATAGACTATGCCGCGCAAGAACTGTGGATCAATGATCCCAAACACTGCCTCCCTAAACGCATTCTCGCCCTCAACCTCACCGGATCCCAGTTTAGCGGCGTTTATTCTCAAGATTTCTCATTCTTCAACTGTTCCTCCCAATATCTCAAGTATCGGTACACCCCAATAGCTTGTATTAGCGATTCCAACTACACTGTTTTTGCCACATCTTCCAGATCGGCCTTCAGGCACCTGTTAGCGGTCTGCAGTTTCATTACTACAGTTAAGGTTCCGGTTCAGCGGCCGTTTCACAAGCATGAATTGTCGTCAGACCTGAGCGACGACCTCCGGCTGTCGTGGGAGTCGCCGCCGTGTGGGAGGTGCGAGTCTCGCGGTGGACGGTGCGGATTCAAGACTAATTCCACGGCTGACATTGCTTGTTCCTACTTTCCTTCCAAAGGTACGTGATACCCATGCCCCACATATCCAAACGCACTTCCTTCTGATTATTCTATTCTATTGTTCCTCTCTCGTTAGTGTCGAGACTTTTATAACATTAGGTTGACGCTGCCTTGGCTTTGTTTTATTTGATACGAGTAACAAAAATGATGGACAGTTGAACCAACACAACACATCTTTAAATATTGAAGTAAATGAAGAGGAGAGAAGGTGGGAGAAGCTAGCATGATAGGGGCCGCTAATTAATTACCATGGCTTCGTAAACAATATTAACCGGATAGTGGTGAGCAGGCATGGCAGGGACGTTCCACTTCTGTTTTGTAATATTCTCCTGTCGGTGTCTTCTCTGAGGCCTCCAATAATATCAATTATCCTCCATTATCTATTGCCAGCAAAAGTCTTTTGCTTTTTATTCTAAGCTGAAACCAATCAGTAATTACCGTGATCAAGTGTTTGTGTTAGGCCGCTGATGAAGACCTTTATATTTAAAATTTATGTAACTTATGTCTTGGACCGACTAAGTGCAATTAGCCAATTTAATAAGTCTGCGAGTCCCACTTGCAACATGAAGGTGAAAGCCAAATTTCATTGACACCTCTTAGTTGTCTTATAGTGAGTCGGGGAGGAAAGTTGAAAACTTTTCGGGTAATCCCTCTTAAATCCTCCAAAATTCCTACTCGGAAGAGAAACCTTTTTGCTGCCCAGAAGGGGAGAAGTTTACCAATTTATCACATAACTATTAATTTCCTGTTATCGCGTCTTGCTTCCCTTTTCAATTACTTTCCTTTCCTGTTCAGCTCTCAGGCATTCTTAATTAAAGACGAATCATTGATTAAATTAACGATATAATTTGAAATATACTACCTCTTATCTTAATTATAAGACATCGTTTGTAGTCTAGAAATAAGATTTTATAATTAGGATCGAAGGTAATATATAATTTATTTTCCAGAGTATATTTGCATGTTGGTGGCAGACTAAAAGAAATTGAAAATATCTTTAAAAAAAGATCAAGATCCTTGTCAATATAAAAGATAAAATATCTTATAATTATCCGGATCTCAGTTAAAGAACAGATTTGTAAGAAGTCGTACCATTTCAGTTTTTAAAAATGATTGATTTTGGTGGCAAAAAAGCAGTAGTTTTAGCACCAATGTGATGAACTGTTGATGGCTAGTAGCATGATTCAGTAACGTTGCACTCAAATATTAGACGGCGGCAGGTATTTCAAGGGCAGCACGTTATGCCATAAGCATAGGCATAGGTTTGCCGGTGATGTTGGGACTCGTCGGGATACTGTATCACATGGGCCGCAGGTGCAGTAGGGCCCAGACACTTGTTGGGCCGCAACCACAGCTGGCAACTGTTTCGGGCCTTGATGGGCCGACAATAGAGTCGTACCCAAAGCAGGTGGTGGGAGAGGCGGATGAAGGGACGTGCCCAATATGCTTGGGTGAGTACAGGCCCAATGAGACGCTCAAGACCATTCCCGCATGCCTCCACTCTTTCCATTGTCAATGCATCGATGAATGGCTTCCCTTGAACGCCTCCTGCCCTCTGTGCAGGACTTCTCCCCCCATCTCTCTCACTTGACCTCTATGCTGTCTATTTTTAACGTTATATAAGCACAGATTTTTGTAATTTAACAAAAATCATCTGAATGCCTCAAAACTATGATTTCTTGTATTATTTTTTTCCATAGCGTTTCTGACCTATCAAATGTGAAGCCTTGTGAATTTGTGTAGCATGCATTATCCCGCCTCCGTTGGTTGTCTTCTCTTGATGATTTTTAAGCCCCAGAAATATAAATGTAATCCTCGTTATTCCACTCAATCATAAATTATACTACCTCCATCGTTAACATAAAATTCCATTGATGAATTTGAAAAAAATTAGGGAAGAGAAAAAAATTATTTAATTATATCACATGCTACATGATTTCTTGAAAGATTTACGTGTGTCATTAAATTATATATTAATCTAAAATTAAACAAATTAATTTGAAAATGCTTTAAAATAATTTATTTAGTTTTTTAAATATTTTTAAATTAATCAACTAAATAGTATTTTTGAGAACTTGATTGATTGTCAATCTAGCCTACAGTCACATCATAAAGAATTGAGACAAAATTATGCATGTTTCCTTCTTTCATGTTCCAACTAAAACAGGAAAGAAGAAAATAATAAAGCACAAAAACATGAGGCTATATATAAGACTTTGTTCACTTTACTCATTCATATGTAACTGTTTCATATCAGATGATGCTATGAGGTTAATTAGTAGTTGACAGCGAGGGATTTGAATTGATAATTTAATTAATTCTGAACAAGTTATTTATAAGGCCACGTTAATTGGGATGAATGACGGTCGATCTTTGAAAAACAAGTCGTCACTCACGAATATGGTTTAAGCCTCTCAAATATGGATTTAATACATCCGATTTCCATCAGAATACACCCAATAATACTACCTCCAGCCAAAATGTAGAATATAAAATGAGTAGAAAATGTAATATGGTTCTTATTCAATAACAGTATTCCAGAGGTACAAACGGTGCTCTTATATAGAGCTGAAAGTGACTCAAGATGACACATAGGCAAACTAGTTTGACTACTTCACCAGACTTACAACTTAACCATAACAAGCTCTAAACTGTATTCTAGTATTCCCCCCCCCCCCGCTCAAGAAAAAGAAAATATTTAACACTACTCATGATTATCCTCATCAGGAAAAAGACGAGAATCCTCTAGGAAGTCAACATTGAGTTTGCCCCTGCAGTAGAAAAAAGAGCACTTGATTGCACCTTGGTCAGAACATCAGCAACCTGATCGAAGGAAAGAGCATAGCCCACTTGTACTAAGCTAGTAGCCACTTTTTTCCTGATAAAATGAAGGTCCAACTCAAAATGCTTTGACCTGTTGTGCAGTACTAGGTTAGCTCACAATGCAACAGCTCCTGAATTGTCACACCAAATAGTAGGTGTGTCAACAATTGTGATCTTCATTTCCTTAAGCAATGTCATAACCCAGATCACATCAGCTACTGCATCAGCAACGCTTCCGTATTCCACTTCTGTAGCTGATCGAGCAACAACTTGCTGCTTGCGTGGGGTCTATGTGATTGGATTTGGCCCAAGATAAGTGCATAACCCACTAGTTGATCTTTGATCAAAACGACCTCCCCCATGACCTGCATCAGCAAGAGCTTGAACACGAAAATGATGTGCTGGTTTAATAAGAAGACCATATGTACTAGCACCCTTGAGATAACGTAACAACCTTTCAACACAATTCCATTGCTCTACTGTAAGCTCATACATGAATTGACTAAGTTTATTAACAGTAAAAAATGGATAAAAATGAGAAGTGAATTGAGATTTTATATTTAGAATTAAATTGAATATCAAACAAACTTTTATATTAAGGATCAGAGATAATAATGAAAGTACTACTGTTTTGTTGACTGCAAGGCAAGCATTGAACCTCCATAAGCTTTCGGTTTTCATGTCCATGCTTACAACTCCTGCTGGTGAGGCTCTTAGTGTTGGGATGACCACGTCTATCCTACTCCGTGAGCCTCTAACTCAACTCTACAATGCTGTAAATTAATGTCTTGCATGACTCTACCTATCAAGGAGTCAAATATATCATTCTTGTTGAACTTGACAATTGGGTAGGCATCTCCAAGTCTCAATAAGATCAAATCAAATTGCCCTTCTTTTTTCCTTCAAACAAAAATAATGGGTATACATAATTGACCACAAAATATCATTTCCATGAGATAAAAGCTAAATATTTGTCATAATATGAATGTTACATGAATAAAAAGCAAATAATGAATTACTTTCATTCACGTATCATTTCTAATTCTAAATTTCTAAATCTTGCTGAAATAATTGAACTTCAACTGGCAGATGAGCCGAATAAATGAGGGGGAACCATTAAGTTGTCTTCTTCTTCTTCTAACACTTGCACCACAGTCTTCATGGAAGGACGATTTATTGGATTCCATTGGATGCATCAAAGTCCTACAATTGCAAGTTTCTTAATAATTTTATTGTCCCCCTCCTCGATCAATTTGAATATGCATGCCTCTCCCTTCAAGCAGATTATAAACCCATTCTAGATATAGAATTTGATAAGTCCTCTCAATTGATATATCTATATTTTTTCTCCCTCCAATCGTTTCCAACAACAACATTCCAAAGCTATAGATATCAGATTTGCAGCTCACATTTCCAAAATTTCTAGATAAAACTTCAGGTGCCATGTAGCCTAGAGTTCCTTTAGCTGCTGTAATAGAGACAGTATTCTGATTTTTTGAACATAATTTGGCTAAATCAAAATCAATAATCTTGGAAATGAAGTTATCATCTAACAACACATTAGAAGGATTGTTGTCAAAGCGTAGAATACGGCTATTACAGCCAGAATGGACATACCCAATCCCTTTAGCTATTCCAAGAGCAATGTGTTGTAGCCTCTGCCAGCCAAGGAAGCTCTCCTTATCTGGTGGAGTTATGTAGTTTCGTAGAGAACCATTAGGGAAGAAATCATAAACAAGGGCACGGTGAAATCCATCGGCACAAAAACCAAGCATGCGAGCCACGTTCACATGATGGATTTTTGCCGTGGTTCCCACTTTGTTAATGAAATCCGTTCCATCTCCCTCCGTGCTACTGAGTATCTTTACAGCAACTGAAATTTCCTTGGAGACTTTACCCTTGAACACTGCTCCGTGAGTTCCTTCACCTAACTTGTCATTCAAATGATTTGTGATTCTTCAAATGTCAGCATAAGAGAATCTAGTGGGTCTGAATGCCCTATAGTCCTGTAAGAATTTTTCCACTCTCGCATGATCCTCTCCCGTGATTCTAAGATAGTGGTAGATTTTATTGCATGCAAAGAAAATCAACAGCAGAATAGTTGAACCAACGGGCACACCTACGCATTGATCACTAATCATTCCTTGTTGATCATAAATTTATATATAGAAGATAATTCAACAAGTAAGTATGGAGAGAAGTGATCTCACCAATTGCAGCGTAAAGTATCTTACTAATAGGTTTGGGCGGGGGGTCATAGCATTGGGTAGCATCTTCAGTATCATTGTTTTTCAATTTACAAAATTTGCCTCTGGCTTGACACTCACTACAATCCGGTTTAAACCACCATAATGTCCAAAAATTTGGGTCGTCGCTCCAGAAGTCTGCGAAAACTGCGTCGAACATCTGGGTGCAAGATATTAGGCTCGAACCAAGGAGTGTGCCACAAGAGGCTGCGACGTATGGGCAAGAGAACCCATTTGGAGGACAATTAAAGAAAAAATAGGTCACAGATGGATTTGAGGAGAACTTCTCGATTGGAAAGGAGAAATTGAAGTATGGTTGAGCTTCATAAGCCTCCTGGGAAGTCAATTTTCTGGGTCATATATGTCCGTATAGCGGTTATTGTAATCTATGTGATTAACCCTGTATTGGATCGAAAGTGGAACAGCAGGAAGCTCAAGCAACGTGTGATGTTCGTGACAAGTGAGATCAAACCCAAGATAGCCACAGTGGTCTAGATCGATTGTAATTACGTTGGAAGGGAAATTGAATTGGAGGGTCGTGATGTCCACATCTTGATTCTCTATACTCATCCATACAGCACACCACCGTGTTGGTAAGTTCTAGCGACTCTATGATCAGCAACAGCAACCAGCAAGATTTGGGATACCGCATCATTGTTGAACCAACAAAGAAATTGTGAAATTCAACCTGAGGTGAGCCTTTAATTTGTGGGTTTTAACTAGTCTCTTTGCCCTTTTTCTGATGACTGACGGGCAACTATATATAACATTAGACTTAGTCTCAGGTTTGATTGACCTCAGACGTTTGACAAGTATAGGAATAAGAGAAACTAATCGAATGTACACGTTTATGTAGCCCCCATCCTTCTCCATTATTATCTGCATTTCCTAACCAGCACTTGTGATTTGGAAGATCAGACAAATGGTTTCGACCTCCATAGTAGAAGGTTCTCAAGGGTTTTTGGTGCTATGGCTCTTTATTATCCCACTCGCCTTGCAGACATGTACTGCAAAGCACCATCAACACTGTGCTCCTTCTTCCTGCAGCAAACTCCCCAACATAAATTACCTGTTTCAATTGAAGCAAGATCCGGACAAGTGTGGTGAGCGCGAATATGAGTTGGATTATGTGAACAACATAGCCATCCTACATTTGAATTATGTAGAGTACTACATAAAGGCGATCGACTACAACAATTATACAATCTGATTGGTCGATAGAGACATTCAAGAGGCTAATTGCTCCTCCATGCCTTGCTACCTTTTGTTTAATTCCAATTTCAGTGGTTCCCAAGGTGAGGAACTATATTCAGAAGTGAACAAGTGGGTCCTTATCAACCCGCGCAAGCCAGAAATTACGACGGCTATCTCTTGACCTTCAGCAATCTACTCCAGCCTATAATTTACATGAGGTGTGCAGATCCAGTAAGAGACAATGCTTCATATGTAGATACCGCATCTTGCCTTGATGATTCGAATACTTATGCTATCGCTGGGGACATAGACCTAGCAAGTTGGTGGCCTGGTTGTCGTGTGAAGGCGGTCTCCCCTGCTTCATGTTCCCGGACATGGCCTTCAAATGTGGACGGTGGCAATGCTAACACTAATGACTCATACAAAGATATTCATAGGCAACTAGCCTTTGGATTTGAGCTTTCCTGGATGAATTTTGTTTGCCAATCTCAATGTGTTTCCAAACCTTGCTACTTCAACGCCACAATCGGAGGCATTCAGTGCTATGTTAGCAGCCATTGTTATTATATCAATGGAGGAGCTCACTCCTGCGGTAAGAAGATACCTTCATCTATATATAAATCCATCTTAGCTCTCGATTTCGAAAACTCGCATCCTAATTGTTTTGTTATTTGTGGGCAGATACTGGAGTTTTGGTAAGGATCGGCATTTATATCAAAGGTGTGTGTATATGTGCGCGCATGCGAGTATAACTAGCCTTGTCTTCTTATACTATGCACTTAATACGGATGGCCTCTTGCAAAAATAGTGACTTGCTTAGATTATTTGCTCTATATACTCGTGTCAATACCCATATAAAATGTTTGGATTTTCCGATGTCGGGCCTCTATTTCTCTCTCTCTTTCTTTATTAAACTAATAATTTTTTCTTAAAGCTATTAGGTACCCATATCATTTGTATATTCTACCATTTTTACAGACGGACTTTTGTGAAATTTTCTTGCAGCTTTAGTTTCCGGCATTTTAACTGGTACGCTCTTGATTCTTCAGTGCTGTTTTTTTTTTCTCTACCTGAATAAAGTCAGTCCTTTTTCTCCTTACTTGCTCCATATTCTCGTAGCTTTTCTTTGAGAACACTGGAATATTATGTATGTATAGCAATACAAGTCTGAATAGAGCATTTGGCCAAGATTCTTTATATCACTGATGCAGCTTCTATTGACTGTTTGATCCATATATCCACATAGGATTATACTGGTTAATTACATTTCGTCACATACATCTTGACAATGCAAATGCAATTAATAGGGCAATAGTGGTAGGGTACTTTGGCCTGCCATCGCTTGTAGTAGCCAGATTTCTATTCGGCGCTATGCTTTTGATTGCCATAATTATTCATAGATGGAGAAGAAGGCATCTCTCGGTTTATGAAAATATTGAGAACTTTCTGCAAGACAACGAACTCATGCCCATAAGGTACTCATGCAAAGAAATCAAGAAGATGACCAATAATTTCAAGATCAAGTTGCGTCAAGGTGGCTTCGGTTCTGTATACAAAGGGAAGCTGCGTAGTGGACCTTATGCAGCCATAGAAGTGTTGGGGACAACCAAATCTAATGGGCAAGAGTTTATCAGCGAAGTAGCAACCATTGGAAGAATTCACCACGCGAATGTGGTTGCTCACCGGGTATTGTGTTGAGGGGTCAAAGCGGGCTCTTGTATATGAATTTATGACTAATAGCCCTCTTGAAAAATATATTTTCTTAAAGGAAGGAGATATCACTCTGAGCTATGAGAAAATATATGAAATATCTCTTGCAGTAGCCCACGGAAAAGCTTATCTTCATCAAAGTTGTGATATGCAAATTTTGCATTTTAATATTAAACCTCATAATGTACTTCTTGATGAAAACTTTGCTCTCAAAATTTCAGATTTTGGACTCGCAAAACTTTATCCCGCGAATGATGGTATTGTTACCTTAACTGCTGTAAGAGGAACACTTGGTTATATGGTTCCGGAATTATTTTACAAGAACACCGGAAGAGTTTCTTATAAATCTTATGTTTATAGTTTTTGCATGCTTTTATTGGAAATGGCGAGTAAGAGAAAAAATTCCAATCCCAACACGAAACACTCAAGTCAAGCTTACTTCCTTTTTTGGATTTATGATCAGTTTAGTAATGAGAGAGATGTAGAAATAGAAGGTGCCACCCGATGAAATTGTCGGCAAAGATGTTAGCTCCAGTACAACACTTCCAAGTGGCTCCAGCTTGCACACCAGCTGTGATCTTACCCCGGTATAACTCTTGTTATGGTAGATATTGTACAATTTTTCTGCCGCAGAAGGAACAAAGGAGTTTTTCGTCCTTGCCTTTTTACATCCCTATGTGCGCCATTCTTTTTTATGCACACGTATGTATTATTCACTTTTTAATTTTAATTTTGGTTTTCCCATATCAAACTATTTTTCATGTCGGAATTTTGCATGGCATGAAATTAGCTGTTGACGGTAAATGATTTAAATTTATCACTTTTTTCTTGGTTCAAACAATTTGCAAGATCAGGGGAACCGTAATCACACTTGATTTTTGAAGTAGGGGTACGGAAGTCACCAATTTAGTTTATTTTGAATTTGTCGAGCAGAGATGTGATATGAATAGCAACACTCCTTCCGTTTTTCAATAATGTACTCTCCATTTGGACTGATCTTTTTTTTTTTTGGGCCTGACATTTGAACTGATCCATTCCATCTGTCCAAGACTGAACCAAATTGTACTTTTTCTTTATATCATGTACCATTTGGAAAATACTTTTGGCCAAAAAAAATATATATATTTGGAAAATACATGTGGATCATTTGATGTTACAGACCATGGACAATGGAGTACGGAGACCAGTTCCACCTAATTTGTTTATTTCAGATCAATTATTTAGTATTCTGCCATGTCTGGGCGCATCCAAGTGAACTGTTGAGTCGAGTCCAGCTGTCCGGGAAGAGTTTGTACAGATCCTGAGCTGACATGGAAGCCCAACACGTTTTGGTATCTTCGTATTTGATTGCTTAATTCAGCTAATTGTTCCCCGTTAAAGTAATACTCCTCCGGTCCTAATTATAAGACCCAATTAACTTATTTGAGGAGATTAAGGAAGTAAGTTAAGTTGGTTATTTATAATAAATAAGTGTTGTCATTCCTAAAATATCCTTGCTAATTAAGTATATTGGCTAAAACTATCATTATTAGAAGGATTATCTTGGAAAAAAATGTATAAATATAAGAGACAAAATGGATTGGGGTCTTATAATTAGGACCAAATAAAAAGTCAAATAGAGTCTTATAATAAGGATCGGAGGAGTATTAAAGATGGTACATGAAGGAAATGCGTAAACTAGAACAAACACCCCTCGTCGGTTTCACAAGACATTAAAATTTCACAATACACTCTCTTTTTTTCTTTATCTTATTCTCAGCATTCCTTAAAAAATAATTCAATTTTTAATATAACTTTCAAAATTTGGCAGACGTTGGATCCTGGGGCGAGTGAGGCAGATGCGTGTGGGGATCGTCATCTTTTTAACTAAAAGACAAAGCAATCTTGGCCAGTGATGCTTGAAAAATAATATCAACCGTTGATCGAATTCTTTTACCCTCTTACCGTTTCTCCAATTTGTCTACCAGTTGGTCTTTTTTTTTTTTTTTGTGGCCAAACCAGTTGGTCTATTTTCAGATCTGAATATTTTACCAGCTTCGATCGTTTTAAAACCGGGGGCAGCCGGTTTGCCGGATCAAGTCATCACCGGTTTTTGTTTATCCCATTATCTGGACGGGGCTGGGCTAATTGGTTCGGTTTTCGCTTGATTGGTTCCCATATTAAATTATCTGTATTTACTTTAAACAGCAAAAAAGTCCCCAAACTCATCCTATGCCCTCAGCTTGGATCTTAGTCCTATTTACTAAACTTAAATAGGAGAAATTCTTCATTACTCTGGATCCCCACATTACTTGAACACTCTCTTGTCACTGTCCGCTGATGGGACTCTTTTTCAATAGAAAATATTTTACGAAAAAATTATGCTACATTTTCTCTTTCCCGTTTTTTAATAACACTTTTCTCAAATTTTCTCTCTCTTCTCCTACTTTTCGTCCGGTCTCTCCTGGCTCCTTTTTCTCCTTCTTTTTCATCTTCTTCCCAATTATTCTTCACTGGTTTCTCTCTCCCCATTCTTCTTTTTGCCAATTTTTTCTGCAGACAAAAAATTGCATTATAGCACGCTAAGGTCCTGAGCATACCAGAATTCAAGTGAGATATAACATTTTTGCTGAAAAATAAAGAGTTGAGTCCAGGTGTACAGCATTTGTTCAAAATGTTTAAAACCCCTCTGGCGCCATTTTGCTGCTGCTAAGTTCATTGAAGGAAGGAGCTGAAACGTGGGCAAGCAAAAATAGCTCTCACAATCTCGAGTCATGGAATGCTCATGGATAAGATGCTGTTCGGGATGGCACCCTTCAAATGACTTGAGCACGAGCTAACCTTGGCTAACATAATGCCGGCGGCGGCGTAGGGCATTGTGGAGGTGGAGAAGTGGTGAAAGTAGGAGAAGCTGAGTAAGAGGGCTTTTGAAAAAAAGAAGAAGGAGGAGGAGGAGGGGCAAATGGGCTGTTAGTACAGGAATGCCGGCAGGAGGAGAGAGAAATCAGTGAAGAATGATGAGAAAGAAGACCGAAAGGAGAAAAAATAAGGGAAAGATGAGAAGGAAAAGTGCAAAAGAGAGAGAAAATTTAAGAGGGGTGTGTATTGAAAAAAAAGAGAGAGAAAATAGTTGTAAGCATAATTTTTTTATAAAATATTTCCTATTAAAAAAACATCCACGTAGGCTGACAAGTAAATCTGCAATTGATTGAGGCCTTATTTGTTATTGCGGTTAAAGTTACTTATAAACAAATAAGTTAAGATATAATTTTTTTATATATTTATTTTATATTTTGTAAATCATAATTAAAAAGTTACTTGTAAATTTTAGTACATTTTTATCAGAGAATGTCCAAGTCACATGGTATCCAGAGTATCTAAGAATTTCTGCTTAAATAGCAAATAATAACGTATTTTGCAGTAATTCTTTATTTAAGTTTTTGAAATTCAATATTTGTTTTTTTTTCCTTTCATTTTTTATACATTTAAAAAATGATCCTTGTACAAAAACGTGAACGTGGTCCGCGGATCTGATGAACAGGTGTGCCTTCTATAGACCGTGTGGACAATCCCGATGCTCATGATACCCATTTTTTAAGGTGTTTGTTTGGATGCGAATATGAGGAAGTTTGAGAGACGCAGGTGGAGACGCGTGTTGCTGCTCATGTCAAGCGAAGTGCGGCTAAGGATGGTAGAAGACTAGAAGTTTACCAGACGACGAGATGGGTATGGGGATCCTCTCCAATAATCCCAATTTGTGGGGGCGTTAATCATTTGTGACATTATTATAATGAAACATTATTGGTTGTCATGCTTGCAATGAAAACCTGTTACTTGCTGCTAAGTTAGCTAAGCTCTCTTACAGTATGGAAAAACTATTTTAATTTTTCATCATTGATTAATAATCACCTCTTGCTTAGCAGGTGATACTGAATGAGACGGATTAGACTCGTGCCTATCTTAGTTGTGTTGCATGTCCGATGTTTTCATGAAGCTCTAGTATTTATTGAAAAAGAGGGGTAAGATTCATTATTTAAATGTGAAAATGCTCATGGAGATTTTAAAATGACGCAACAACAGTAATAACTATTTACCTCACTAAATGGCAGTGATTTTTTTTTTTTGCAAGCATTTTTATGTTTAAACAAGTATTATAATGTTATGTGAGCATTTACAAATATTTTAAGGACAGATTTGTATGTTTCTAATAAAAAAATTAAGTGAACGTACGCTGACTTTCTTTTTTTTGGCTTAAAAAGGAACTTCTATGCGGGACTTGCATTGAAGACCACGAAAAGTACATGTGATGCGTTGGGTACTGTAACTCATATTGGGGGAAAAAAAGTTGTATATTCAATTTAGGGTGTGTTTGGGTGACACCCCAAACCATGGTTTGGGGATCCCCAAACACCCCCCTAAAAACCAAAACCATGGTTTTGGAAAAAGCAAAATTTTTTTGTTTTGGAGAAAAAAGGGAGAGTATGAGAGCCTATATGATATGTATCTTGTTATTTTTTTTATAAATATATTTTTTTATAAACATATTCAATCTTATATTTTATAAATATATATACATATTAATTATTTATTAATTATATTATCTTATGTATTATTAATTATGTTGGTAAAAAATATATTATTAACAATTTTATTCCTTCAAATTAAAATATATCATAAAATCTATTTTTTTTGTAATTATCATATTAACTTATGTCTTTTTTTTAGTAATTTGTATATATAAAAAGTGCTTCTGATAACAACTATCCAAACACTCTCACTTCTCAGAATCACTTTTTTACAAAATCTATTCTTCACAGAATCTATTCTCCCCAAAATCTATTCTCCAGAATCACTTTTCCAAACCACGGTTTGGTTTCATCCAAACACACCCTAATCATTAACATATAAGCTTGTTAAGAATTTAATTTGATTATAAATTTGCTGGTGAAAAAAATTTGATTACAAATATAAAGTTTTGGTCTATTTTGTCTACTTTAATATTGATCTATTTTACCTTAATAGAAAGTAAATGATTGCTTGTGTTATGTTTTAAAAAAAATATAATTTCAATACATATAATTAAAAAAAGTATTTTAGAAAAGACAGTATTATTTATTATAAATAATTAATTTAATTTAATTTTTTAATTTTTATAAATTAATTATTCAAGTCTTACATTAAAAAAAATGAGAGAGTACGTTGCAGATTGCACATTGAGATCTACGGTTCGGGGAAAAGGGGTGCTAGACATAAACTAACATTATAAATTTAATTCATGGTTTAAAAAAAAAAGGCATGGAACCTGGTAAAATAAAATATTACTTCCGAACTTATTTATGAGATATCGTTTATAAATTATAAAGATATTATAATTATAACAAAAAGTAGTAATTATTACATGTATGGGCACATGGTAAACAAAAAAAAAAACCTGAATATAAGAACTATTTATCATTATACTATTTCTAATACTTAACATAATAACTAATTGATTAATTTGGATAAATTAAAAAAATTAGTTAGATTAATTATTTTATAATAAATAGGTGTTATTTTTTTTCTAAAATACCTTTACTAATTAATTGTATTTGCTATAACTACCATTTAATTAAACATTTAACATGTATAACTACTGTAAGAACTATCTTAAAAAAAAGAGGATAAATGTGAAATACGAAATCGACTGGAATCTTATGTCGATGATCAAAATGAAAGTCAAATTAGCTACTGTTCCTTGTGTTTAAGGTGATTCTTTAATATAATTTTATACTCATCTGATCTTTAACTAGTTTGATTAGATTAACCAAATTAGATAAATTAGTTAATTATTAAAAAATATGACATATTTTTTGTAAAACACTATAATTATCTTTTCGAATATCTTTCATCTCTTTCCTACTTGATTATGGTTGGAAGAGTACTAATAAGAATAATTTTAAAAAAATTGATAAATATGATAAATACTCCTCCGGTCCTTATAAGACCCAATTTGACTTTTTATTTGGTCCTAATTATAAGACCCAATTCATTTTGTCTCTTATATTTATGCATTTTTTTCCAAGATAATCCTTCTAATAATGATAGTTTTAGCCAATATACTTAATTAGCAAGGATATTTTAGGAATGACAACACTTATTTATTATAAATAACCAACTTAACTTACTTCCTTAATTTCCTCAAATAAGTCAATTGGGTCTTATAATTAGGACCGGAGGAGTAGTTCTTATAAGGACCAGATCAACTTAATAACCATGTCCTGTATTAAAGACCGGAAGAGTATTTCATAATACTATCCCTAATCCTTAATATAAGACCCTGTTTGAATGTTATTTTAGTCTTAAATATAAAACCCAAATCTACTTTGTCTTTCATATCTATCATTTCCCTTTTAAAATAATCATTTTAATAATCATAATTCTAGCCAATACATTTGATTAGGAAAAATATTTTAAGAAAAATAATATCTATTTATTACAAATAACTAACTTAATTAGTTTTTTTAATTTACTCAAATTAGTCAACTAACTCTTATACTACTACTTGTTATAATTATAAGACCTCATTTATAATTTACAAACAAAATCTTATAATTAGAACTGAAAATAATATTAAGGACCGAATGTAGTATAAGATATTTTTGCAAAAACTAAATCGATTAATGAACCTCATTTCAAAATAATCTTCACAATTTGAGCGAGAGCGTGTGACCCAGGGCTAATGTTAAACGAAGGGTGGTTTTAAAAGATTATACTATTTTTATAGAAAAAGATCTCTGAATACGCTTAACCATATTTGCAAATTTAGAAAGAAAAAAAAAAGTTATGAAAGCATCACAGGGCGAGCACCATAAATGTGGAATCTCAGTGTTGACGTTGTTTGATCAATGATCATTGGATGTTTGTTACTCCTCTGATCCTATTAAAAAAAAAAAAAGACGTTTTTTATGCTTACAGCATACTAAGAAAACTTTTTTTTATATAGATTTACAATTTCATCCTTCTTTTATTATTATATCAATTTTATGTATATAAGGCTTAATATATATTAAATGGGGATAAAATTAAAAAGTTGTTAAATTTTTAAATGAGAGTTTTTTGCTAAAATATAGGTATTCTCCTAATGAAGGTAATTTTATTCGAAGTACTGTCGAGCGCTAAATATGGATACCTCTCCTAACAGAGATTAGAACCTTGGTTCGCCACGTTTTAAGGGACTAATTCTTTTTACTAAACTCAATCCCTGTTAGTAAATTTTAAATAAGAGTTAATAAAATTTTAATTATAAATAAAAAGAAAGGAACAGAAAGAATTGTTTAATTCAGAAATGCGGAGTGGGTCGGTAGGCACGAGGAAAATGCTTTTGAAAAAATTATTCATTTTGTTACAACAACAAACGGAGGAGGAGGGGTAGAGGAGAAAGAAAAAGGACGACAAACTCACAAAAGGGCGAAGCGAGTGAAGTGAGGGGTGGGACCGGGTGAGTGACGGTGACGTGGCACGATCACATTATACTCCTATGGCCACTTAACAAATTATAACAGCATCACGCGTATCAAAAACATTTTTTTAAGGCTATAAAAAAGTTATAACAACATTACCCTCCCACCCTCTCCTACCCTGTGCCTCAGCAGTCAGCAGCTCTCCTCTGCCCTTCTTCAGTCTTCAATGCGCCACCAGCCCATCTGCTTGTGGACCCCCCTCTTAAAAACGGATCGTCGGATCCATGTTCCAGATCCTTTCATAATCCCGCGTCTCCGTCCCCGCAACCTCGAAATCCTATATCCAGATTTAATGTTTTTTAAAATTATATATATATATATATATATATATTAAAACCTAGACATGGCCGTGCTTGCATTACCGTCATAAAGATAAAGCAGACTCTCCGACGTTAGAAAGGCCAAAAATGGTGAGCGTTAAGTCCTCTTGCACCGTGACTCCAAGTAATCCGACTCCGGAGTCTTGCTTGTGGTTGTCGGGGAGTGACCAAATTTATCCTTGGACTCACGTGCGCAGCATCCACGTTTACGGCCCACACCAACACCAGAGCCACGGCGGCGCCATTCACACCCTCACTCGCTCTCTCGCCGACATATTGGTCCCCTACTACCCGCTGGCCGGTCGCTTACGCAGCATCGGAGGCGGCCGCGTGGAAGTTGTCTGCAACGCCAAGGGAGCGCTGCTTCAGGTAGCTGAATCTACTAAAACAATACACGACTATGGTGATTTCAGACCCGACCAACCCATCCAAGAGCTTCTTCCCAAGGTTGATTATTCTAAACCCTTAGAGGAGATTCCTTTGTTGTTGGTTCAAGTCACCCTCTTTAGTGGCGGTGGCCTCTGTATTGGGCTTGCCCTTTCCCACTCCATGGCCGATGGTTACGCTGCCATGCAGTTCATCATCTCCTGGGCCAAGCTCGCGCGAGGGCTCCCATTAGAGCAGAGCGACCTGCCTTTCCTGGACCGCACCGTCCTTAAATGCTGCGAACCGGTCATGCCTCCCCGTTTCCCCCACCCAGAATTCAAGCCCCTCCCACTCATACTGGGTGCTTCTGACACCGACGAGGAGCGCAAGAAGGAAACCACCGTGCAGTTATTGAAGCTGACGGCGGAGGAGGTGAGTAAGATCAAGGACCGGGCAAATGAAGGAGCGGAGATTTCACGACCCTTTTCGAGATTCGAGGCCGTGAGTGCCCATATATGGAGGTGTGTGACCAAGGCCCGACGAAATGAGTACCAGCAGCCGACCACAGTTTGGCTTGTGGGTGATATTCGCAACAGAGTGAGCCCACCCCTGCCTCCGAACTATTTCGGCAACGCCGTGCTTCCGACGGTGACCAGAGATGGAATCAGCGGGGAGGTGATATCAAAGCCGTTGAGCCACGCCGCGCAGAAAATAAGGGAAGCAATTGGGTTTCTGAGAGAGGAAAGGTACGTGAGATCACAGCTTGACCGGATAGAGGGTACGGAGCAAGTGGATTCGCTGAGGGTTGCGTACAACCAAGGGGGAGTGATGAAGCAGCCGTTTCTGGGGAATCCCAACATGAGAATTGTGAGCTGGATGACTTTGCCGATGCACGAAGCAGATTTTGGATGGGGAAAGGCTGTGCACGTCGGGCCTGCGTCGTTGAACGCTGATGGTAAGGTCACAATGATCCATTCTCCTTCTGACGATGGATCTATTCTCGTCGCCATTCGTTTGCAGAACGCTCATATCTCCGATTTCAAACACTTCCTCTACCATGATCTGTGATTCATTACCTGTCCTTTCTTCTGCCTACGTCATCTCCGTCAATTCCCTCGTTTTTCTGTGTCTCTTTAATTAATCCTTTCATCACTGTCGTCATAAAGACCTTGCGTCAAACTCTTTTGGTTTGTGTTTATCATCTGAAAGTATAGCGTGCTAGTTAATCGTGTCCCATAAAAATTTATGGTGGCTGTCGAGGAAATAAAAGATGCTCAGTCTTGCCATTTATATTTACAAAACATTAGGGTTATTATACTAATTCGGTCGTTGGCTTTTGTCACTTATCAGTGTGCTTTAGCATAGTGTGTTACTTCTTCGCGCAACACAACAAAGACGGACACAGCAATGCTGAGTAATTAGCACGCAACGTACGGGTCATTGTGTCGGAGTCTTGGAGGACCGTGCTCGCTCGCGGCACAATGAGAGTGCGAATTCACCCTCACAAGCGTCTCTTCTGTGAGAGTCTGAACTATTCACATGCGCGTGTGTTCTCATAAAATCATCTAAAAGATAAAGCGGGCCAAAAAAAGAAAAATACAGATATTGCTGACCCATGTGATGACCATGAATATTATAATCAGCTTTTAACTGATCAATTAATTAATTCACATGAAATATTTTATTTATTTATACATTCATTCTTGTGATAAAAAGTTGCAGAGATTATTTATAAATGAAAAAGCAATTATAGCGAAACCAAGTTAAACAATTCGATGGTTAACAATTAACACAGTCACTTGTTTTGAAAAGAAAAAAGCGTGTGCAGCTGAACTGATCGGGCATGATTACTAGATTTTGGTTGTCGCACATCATTTCTAAATTCCGGCTCACCTCTCTTTATACGACAGTGATTGTGAAATTTTGAGTCCAATCGCTCTTGAAAAAGCAATGTACAAGTGACGAGCCATGGGCGAAGATTATCCCACGCTGTATAATGTTCGGTCAAAAGCAGTACTGCCTTAAAGTCGATTTATAAGTTGTAGTTAAAATAATTAATAATTAATTGATTCTCCAAATCAGTGCTTTGAATAGTGAGTGCAATAGTAGCTCCATGAGCGAAATATTTTGTGACTGAATTATTTTTTTTATTTATTAAATCTAGACAAGTTAATGACCTTATCGCATTCATTGGATTTGGTTAGCCTAGCATTTCATCATCCATGCCTAGGAGCCACCGGGAATTTTCGAGTTGATGGTCAGGGGTTGAAGAAGACAAAAACATGGTAAACGACAAAAGTCTATGATAGGATTCAATATAATTTTATTTTTTTGAAATGCCAGTTGATGATAGCATAGGGTTTGAACTTAAGCTCCCACCTGTACCTCGATCTCGAGGCGTCGTGGTCGTGGGTGGTTAATCGGTTATTGCGTGATGGGCATGGGCTGAATAAACTGTACGGTGGCCAGAGCAGCACCGGTCACTTTTGCTGGGCCCAATTCAATAAAGACGGTAGTTACGCTGTGGGATGTTGTATCATTTTGGGTCATGGGGGAATATGTCATTTCGGTCTTCAATATCATCATCGGTCCATCACATAAGAGATAGGACAGCCTTGTAGCAAAATAGAAAAAGTTAGGATAGCCACAATGTACACGTAAACGGGTAGTGACAAATGGTAAGTGATGACTGGGAAGCCCTGGACCACCGTTTTTTTTTAAAAAAAAAATCATCGCAAAATTTGTCACATGCCAACCAACAATGAAGCTAGGTTAGTCGTTCATAATCTACAGCCGATTATGTGGCAAAAGTTTCCCATAGCATAGATGATAATTTTTGTATCGCCGATTACTCTTCACCTCTTAATCAAGAGGGGGGCGGTGATATCTTTTGATTAGTGGTCGTAGTTTGCTTCTCTTTGGTTGAGTAATAAATTTCAGTTCTTCATTCGGAATAAAAAGCACCTTAGTAGAGAATATACATACTAACTCCAGTCTTTAATATAATATCTCATTTGACTTTTATTTTGGTCTTAAATATAAGATCCTAATTCACTTTGTCTTTCATGTTTATTCATCTTTTCTCATGATAATTCTTCTAATAATAGTAGTTCTAACCAATAAATTTGATTAATAAAGATATTTTAGAAAAAATAACACATATTTATTACAAACAATTAATTTAATTTATTTTTTAATCTATTTAAATTAGTTAATTAGAAGTAGTAGCATACTACCTCCGGTCCTTAATATAAGATTTCATTTGACTTTTATGTTGGTCCTAAATATAAGACCCTAATCCATTTTGTCTCTCATATTTACTCAATTTTTTCCAAGATAGTCTTTCTAATAATTATAGTTTTAGCAACATACTTGATTAGTAAGGATATTTTAAGAAAAACAATACCTATTTATTACAAATAACTAACTTAATTTCTTTTCTTAATTTTCTCAAATTAATCAACTGACTCTTATAATTAGGACCGAAGATAGGACATGAATATACGTACATGCCCTCTCGCTCCTCTCTAGAGACATCATGATTGCTCATCAGTAGTGAAATCGGGTTCCTCAGGCTTCCAAAGCAACATGGGTGGAAATCTTTCAGGCAGCTGTGTTTTGGTGGACCGATTACGTCGTATAGCTCGAAGCGCATTAGCAGCATATCTGGAATCATACATTGTAGTACCGAGGCTGGGTGAGGTACCACCTGCCTTTGCCAACGCATGTTGCAGTCTGTTCTCTTCTTCCCTCAGAGACTCTTCCAGCTTCTTCTTACTATATCGCCGCCACCCTGCCTGTATGAAGCACGCCGGCCACGTACGCCATCGTTGGGAGTAGAACCTGAAAGTGTGACGAAGCTGCTTGCTGTGAAGACGCCTGAACTGAGATGCCACAAGCTTCAAGTCATCGGGTTTGAGAGCAAAGGCTTCAACTTCTCCGAGGGTTTGCATGGTCCTGGTTGAGATTGGAAGGTTGGATCAGGAATGGGGATCTAATGCCCACGTCAGAAGCTCCTCTCCGCAGAATTCTCCACTCTTGAGGAACTCAGAGTTAAAGAAGCCTGTTGTTCCACCGTTGGTTGTCACCGTCAGTAGTTTGCCTCGCATTATGAAGAGCATCTCGTCCACCGGCTCTCCTTCATGAACAATGCAGCTTTCTTTTGTGTAAAGCACCGGCTTCAGGCCGTCGCACATTGCATCCAACAGTTGTTCATCCATTTTCTCAAATATCGGCACCTTAAAATTATATCCAACACAAAACTCGCCAGTTGTCAACACCAGATTGTACTAAAATAAATCTCGAATTAGATCTCAAGTCCAGTAATTTTTCAGCTTCCTAAATAAGCGTCTGATTTGCCCACCTACAAACTAGGATTCCAAACTTGCAGCCAAAAAGGCACATTTTTAATGTCAGTGACTTGCTAGGCCTTTGGAGAAAAAAGAAGTTTCAGCGTGAATTAGAAATTTAAAACCATTTCATTATATGGATGATGGCTCTTAAAAATACCCCTGAGCCAACAAGATAAACGGTAGAAACGGGGTTCAAAGACGATATAAAATAACTCTTCCATAAGCAAAATAATTCTGAAGAAAACAATATTGACATGCGTTGGATAAACTTACTCTCATCAGCAATGCCAAGCAAAGATGACGCTTAATGTCCCTACGTAAATCCTCTGGAAGCTTACGGATCAAGTTTTCTTCATCAACACCTCTGGTTTCTTGCCATTTGTATTGTTCATATCATCTGATTCGCTCTCTCAGACTACCAGGGAGCAACCGATGAGACATCCATTGTTCTGCATCTCTTCTTTTGACTCTCATCTCCTCCAATCTTGTAGTTGTTGATTGCAGATATGTCTGTTTCAAAACAAGTAAAATTTTATCAAGACCACGAGACATAATCTCCTTAACAGAATGGCACAGGTGTCATGGAAGCTTTATCTCTAATCCCTCAAAATAAGAAGTGGCCATATCTGTAAATCCAAAGATGTACAGAAAGGATCAGCAATGTAAATCTCACTGTGATTGTAAATGCCTTGGTAGAAATAGCACATTTACATATTATAATTACATACTACTTTTGGTCCTTAATACAAGACTAGTTGACTAATTTGAGTAAATTAAAGAAGTTTGTTAAGTTAGTCGTTTGTAATAAATAGGTGTTATGTTCCCTAAGATACCATTACTAATCATGTATATTAATTAGAATTACCATTTAATGAAACTTTTAACATGTGCAGCTACTATAAGAACTACTTTGAAAAACGATGGACAAATATAAAAGACAAAGTGAATTGAAATTTTATATTTAAGACCAAATTAAATGTCAAACTAACTCTTATAATAAGGACTGGGGTTGGTATTTCACACGGAAGTTCCTGAACAAGAAAATTTTATCATGGAGTGAGACTACAAATTTGAAACAAGCCTTGGGGTTAAAGCAGTAGTGTTAATGTTGAATATATTCTAATTCTAATGCTAACATTGGACTGCATAGATTTTTTTTTTTTAAAAAAAAAAGGGATACTAGGGAGATATTTGGTACCGACCTGCATATTTCCGATGAGGAGTGAAAACAAAACCAAACCAGAGATGGAGATGAAAACAGCAAAGATGATCTCCCAAACATATGTACTTGTTGCCAGGTTCTGACCAAGAGAACTGCAACATAGAGACCCAAGCCCCGAGTAGATGGGAGAGGAAACAATATAGTGTGTTAGATCTTCTAAATCGCTATGTGCTCACGGGCATACGGCAAACGCATTAATCAAATCAAAAACTTTAAGACAAAGGCATAATATTTCAAATGATATGATCTTCCCTATTTAACATTCCCCATTTAAACCCCCTGAGAGTCAGAGCCACAGAATAATGGCAATTGAACAATATGATTTGGCCATTTTATTACAAGTATTACCGATCCACCCCTCATGACCAAAAACAAAAAGACACAAGAGTGTCGCATAACACAGTTTTCATCCCCAAAAGAACCTGGCAGCTCTAATAAAGAACTTCTATAAACAATTTTAAAGAATCCGAGGGCAGCCACCAATGTTATAATATTACATCATAACATTATAATTCATAATCTAAAACAAGTTATTCGCATAATGGGGGAGAATCTATGAAACACACCTCAGATTTCTAAGGCCCCACCAAAAACAGTAAAAAAAATCTTTTATGGGAAATCTCCTGACTCCACGATACCAGACTGAAGCGCATCAAGGAATATTCCAAAATCAAAGTGTGTCGTATTTGCCACTTGTATTAGGCAAGAGGCGTTCAAGTAGCTTACAAAGTCACTTGACCCTGGAGAACTACAATACAGAGCTGCCTT